ACATATCAAAGTCGAGACAGCAAAGAACTCTGGGATTTGTAAAAAAAAAAAGGATGCTGAGATCTATGAGATTCAAAGTATTTGTATCCATTCTGATATCACTCAAGGTTGGGAAGTACCTGGATTATTAGCTCTTTGCACCTGTTTGCTTCCCTGTTAGTGCCACAATCTTGGGATTTCACAAACAGTTGAGAGATGTTCCTTTCTTTTGTTTTTCCTCCTCAAATGCAGACACAAACGCAGGCTTTGCTTTTTCACCAAGATGATGAAGAACGAGCAAAGGGGAGGAGTGCAGCAGGTTGGCAAACATGCACTCAAGAAGGTGGGCTGAATGTGTGACATGTCTCGTGGTAAGTCATTATGTCACTGTGTAAGGTTGTATGTAGTGACATATAGGCCAAATCACATAAACTAACTGTTCAAAACTGAACAACTCTTTAAACCAGGGGTGTCTAACTCAGTTTTATTATGGTGGTCCTCAAAGGGCCTGTAACTTTGACTAAACAGGAAATATCACATTCTTTGTCTCTTTACTACTGAGCACTGCCAACAAATAGTAACTGAGCTCTATGTGGTATGTTGTGCATAGAAACAGCATTTTGACACGACTTCTTATAAACACTGACAAGTACTACGTGTTCTATTGACTAAATGTGAAATAAATAATACAGAAATACTATTAAAAGTAAAAGTATGTGAGTTTTACTTACTGTTGAGTTGTGGTGAGTAGCCGACATCTTGAATTCTGAACTATCCCACTTTCTAACAGGGRATTCCCACCGGAGGAYGTGTTCCAAGTTAAATTTTATGACTTGTAAATTGGAAATTCCGACTTCCCAGTACAACGGGGTCACAGCAAAAGTGCTGTGATCAAGATTTTACGCTGYAAATTACCAGTTACCTTTGAACCCTGTGCACCYCCACCTATGGTGTAATGTTGTTCTATTGCAGATAAAATGTGCATAATGGGAGATGTAGTTTATGGTCAATGGTGGCTGTAAAGCAGCTCATTTTAAAACATCTTTGAAACACTGAAGGAGCTGTAAAGCTGATCTTTAACTTCCTGTTGTATTTGCCACTGTTTCATTCAGGTGTTTTCACCTCTTCACACACACCTGCTCTGCATCAGCTAATGTACCCAGCTGTTCACACTCAGTAATCACTCCTCCCAGAGTAAATTCCTAATTTTCCTGTCCAGCTCATGGAGAGCTCCAGCAGAGAGGCAGGAGACACCCTGGACAGGTCCATCTC